AATTGCAACTTTGAACTTTATAGTAATACAGCGCTGATTTGGAAGATTGAGAAAGCAATCTAATTCCTAACCAGACTTACCTGTGTGAGCAGATCCGTTATATGGTCTGCTCCGATACCAAAACTGTTACATACTTCAATGAGTATGGGCAGAACCAAAGATCAACCAATGTAGGATGAGCATATATGCAGCGGAAGTCTGATAAACGGACTGACTCACACAGACTGACTCAAGAATCACTCCACATACATACAATCGTGAGATGGTGGGGTCTGGGCCAAGCATAGACGATGCCCAGACCTCGTACACGCATACACAGATGAGAGGTGGGAGGAGAGACGAAGGAGGTGGGGGAAGTAGACAGCACCGAAGGTCACCGAGATAGAATCTGATAGGTCACCGATATGGTAGTCCAAAATGTCATCCAACAAGATCAAAATGTCGAGGACAATAGGTCACCAATGTCGAGGTACAGAGTCCAAATGTAACCGGTGTCCGAACTGTGATGCAGTCGAGTATCAACCCCAACAATCTCCAAGTCTCCAATCCGGTAAGTACCACAGTCTCGTATCACCGAAGTCCAACACTGATCTCTGTCCAACTAGTATAAGTCTCCAATCTGAAGAAGAAGAAGAAGAAGAAGAAGAAGAAGAAGAAGAAGAAGAAGAAGAGGAAGGAGCCGAGGAGGAGAGAGAGAGAGAGGGGACTGGCGATGGGAGGGAGGAGAGAAGCCTCCAACTCCCAATACCTCAGGCGGATATGGCCGCCGGTAACCCAGTCGCCGCTGCTGCTGCTCCGCTCGCTGCTGCTGCGCTGTTCCTCGCTGCTCCTTCGCTAATCTTAGCGCCAGCGCTGTATCGCGCTGTACCATACCGTACCGGTAGAATGCCGGTAGGTCGATAGCCTCACTGAGGCTGGACCGGTACCTTTGTACCGGTGGGCAGAGGKCGGCCTCTATGCTGCGAGGCCGGACCGTGCCCTGAACYGTCCAGATGGACGGTTCAGCCCCAACCGGCGGGCGGCAGCCTCAAGAGCGCCGCCAGGCCCAAACGGTAACATCGTTTGGGCCGGGCCGTCGGGTCTGGTCCAAGGTAAGGCCTTTACGGCCTGTAGTACCCCCAAGGTCGGGCCTTTGGCCCTACTGTGTCCCTCTACCCTATGTCGGGTCCGGTAGGACCCGTGTGGCGTCGAAGATGTAACATATGCGTGTCAGCCTTGTGCAGGGGTCATCCTAATTAGTAATTACCCTTCTCTGTATCGTTCCAATTTCAACAGATGTCCCCGTCAATCACGCATGAGGTCTCTTCCTGCCCTCTTCCTCCTCGATCGATATTCCCCCCTGTCGCCACCTCAGCAATGCAGTCTCTCTCTGACGTTCTCTGACAAGTACAGTATGCAGATCGCAGCTGGGTGTCCAATCTCCATCTACTTCAGCATCAATCAGGGAGGACGGCACAGAACTGCCTCACCTCCGTGGAGACGTACCGCAGATCACTCACGAAGACGGCAGGTACGTCCAGGTGAGCTTCCCCTCAACTCAACCTTCCCCAGTCTCACAGCCCTGATCCTCCTCCTCCTCCTCCTTCTCCTCCTCCTCCTCCTCCTCCTCCTTGCCCAATCTGTACACAATGTCTGAAACTATGGCGACGATGGCCGCTCAAGCAGAATCTCCGCTCTGAAGCTGGCGCCCACGGAGCCAAAACTGGCGCCACCATGGACTCCCCACAGCCTTGCAGTATCGTACTAGCGTCAAGCCAGCACAAGGCAGAATGATCTCCACAGTGGCTGCGTCAACTCTAATAAATAGTGTTGCCTCACAGTGACCAGCCTCCAGTCTCCTCGGGTCGACGGCTCAGATACTCTGAAAACCAATGGCCTGGATGTAGCGCAGTCCCAGAGTTCCCTGTGTCCCACTTGGACAGAAATCGCCCGGACACCTGCAGACAGCCAAAGATGTGCATCTGATTGATGGCCCTGGCTGACCAGCGGGTTGGCTTTGACTTTTGGGCCTGGATACCGGAGCTGGGGTTGACTTTGACTTTACAGGAATCGACCACCTCACGTAGGGGTACTGGACGCAGCTTTTGACTCAGCTTCTGGTACCCCTCGGCCCTGGACTCTATCTCAGGCATTTTCTTGTGTTAGGGACGCGAAATAATAATAGGGGTCACTGTTGCACCCCTATTTCAGACCTTTGACCAATGTCACGACCCTTAGCCCTCGGCCCTGCAGATTTGAGCTGAGTTATTGCATTATTATTATTATTATTATTATTATCATTATTATTATTATTATTATTATTATTATTATTTTATATATTATTATTGTATATTATTATTATTTGAATTTATTTCTACTGATTCTCACAGAAGATTGGGTCCTTCTCAAGTTCTTATTCTCAGACAGATTTGGTTTGCAGTTCTGATTCTTTTTTGGTTCTCAGTTCTGATTTGCAGTCTTCATTCAGTTTCACTCCTCAGGCTCAGTTTGATTTGTTTTCCGGTTTTTTTTTTTTTTTTTTTTTTTTTTTTTTTTTTTTTTTTTTTTTTTTTTTTTTTTTTTTTTTTTAAAGCCCTCTCGCAAGGCCTCTATCCCGGCCATTCCGTTCTTCTTCTTTTCAGTAACGTAATTTTTTAATAATTCAGTTCGTATTTCATTTTTGAACCTTTGGATTCCATTTTGATTTCAGATTCGATTTCCATTCTGGGTCCGTTTTTTATTGCACTTACTTTGGTCCAGATTTTCGAAACCACATGCTTCCCCTTGGACCATACATACGCTTTTTTTTTTGGGGGGGGGAGGGGGGGGGGGGGAAGGGGGGTGGTGTTGTACGCTGAAGAAACCAAAGTGTTACAATTGTAATGACCCGCCAAAGCACAGACTGAGAACACTGCTGATTCTGTCTCTTATACACATCTAGATGTGTATAAGAGACAGTCTTCAGGAAGAGCCAGAGGCTCTTCCTCATTTGCGGTGTGCAAGGATTGGCGACATGCTGCTGGAGCGCAGCGCTGGTCCATACAGCGCTGCTTGGAGGCTGTCTCTTATACACATCTAGATGTGTATAAGAGACAGGCTTACAACAGCTGGGGAAAAACACTCAAGTAGCAGGTAGGCCGAGCAGAAGAAGACAAAAAGTTGGCATTTTTAGAGGCCCAGTAGCGGTAGGCTAGAGGTAGGCCGGTACCAGTCCAAGTAGCCCGGGTCTAGGGCCTGTCCGGACAATAACAGAGCCTGCAATGATGTTTCCCTCCGAAAGTGAGGAGGTACCGGTTGCTGGGAGGCCGCTCGGCCTAGGAAGTCACCGCCCAGGAGGCCGGTAGGCCGCTATATCTTCAGGAAGAGCCAGAGGCTCTTCCTCATTTGCGGTGTGCAAGGATTGGCGACATGCTGCTGGAGCGCAGATACACATCTAGATGTGTATAAGAGACAGGACCCGAACCGGGTCGTCCAGCGGGGTCACTGCGGGCGCGTAGGAGCGGGTCTCACCGAGCGGAGGAGAGTGGCGAGGTACTTACCTGGCTATGGTGGACTCCATCTTCATCACCTGGTAGGGCGCTGCATCTGGAAGGCCCCCGCTGGGGTAGTACGGCACCAAGGAGGTCCGAGCAGGGTCAGGCATGGCGGAGCAGCAAGCAGCACCATAGCTGCTTTGGGGTTGGCCGTTGCACATCAGGGCTAGGCCCAAGTAGTCCGCCATAGCCTAGGCTTAGAGAGATGAGAGGAGGAGGAGCCATGGCTATGGTGGACCGATGTATGAGTCAGCAGTGAGGGGGAGCTTCGGACATTGATTCTGGATCATTCATTCATTGTTATTATTATTATTATTGCAAGAGGAATAAGATTGGGGGAAGTTGGAAGGAGGAGGAAGGTGGAGAGAGAAGGGGGAGTTGTCATTTGTCTTGCTGGTGTACTTCTTCTTCTTCTTCTTCCTGGATCATTCATTCATTGTTATTATTATTATTATTGCAAGAGGAATAAGATTGGGGGAAGTTGGAAGGAGGAGGAAGGTGGAGAGAGAAGGGGGAGTTGTCATTTGTCTTGCTGGTGTACTTCTTCTTCTTCTTCTTCTTCTTCTTCTTCTTTCTCTCTCCTCTGGTCCATATCTCTTTGCAAGTGCTTTCATTTCTTTCGCAATTTGGTGGCATTGTCTTTCATTGTGAATTGCACTTGGGAAATAACCAGGATCGTAACACAATCTATCTTTGGAAAGTTTGGGGATGGGGGTTTTCATGGAAAATTTGAGAAAGAGTATGTTTACTATTTCGTTTCTGATCCTCACTGGCCTAGGCTCCTTTTCTTTTTCCCACTACCGTCTTTCCCCGAACATAACGCACCCTAAAAATGAATGTATACTTCCGGCCAGATACAGCCAAAATGAGGGTGCGTTGTGTTCGGGGGAAGACGGTAGCCATAGTAGTAGCCGAGGCAAAGTCGATAGTGTGTCTGAAAAATCTGCACCTATCCACCCCTGCAGACCCCTGTAGTAGCTAAAGAGCAGCATTAGAATAGAAATGTTTCTAGTCGGATGAATCTGGGCGCTCCTGTAGTGGCCCGTACGTTTCCTAAAATTGTGGTTCCTAACATTGTGGCTTGTTAACGGGCACAACTTTAGGAAGTACTGGTGGTTTAAAATTTAATTGCGAATTAACCCAAAGCTAACTCGTCAAACACAACTGACTGTTTGTGATAATCAGACTTTCATACAGCAAGGGAAAAAAAAAAAGACTTTCATACAGCACGGGCAAACGTACCCTTAGCATAAGAACCCATCTCTGGGTCTTTTGAACTTAGGCCTCGCAATTTTCGTTTCTGTTCCTCTGCTGTTTAGGCAGTTGAGTCCTGGGTCCGAGTCGGCTATGTATGCTAGGACTTACAAAAACTCCTTTTCCACGCCGCTTCTTCATGCCAAAATTCAGAAAAAAATGAACACGATGGGGGCATGCGCAGGCTGCTGAATTGCCCACCCCCCGTCTACCCATTCATCTCCCACTCTCCCTCTTTCATTCTTCCCTTCCGTGCAGCGCTTCGTCTTTCCTCCTCGTCTCTTCATCGCACTCCATTGGCTGTGACACGAGCTGGTCGGATCCAGATTGAGGTTTGCGAAGGGTGACAAGTTGTGCAGCTCGCGCGATCGTTCCGTCTCTGCAGCTTCCCACCATCGCCCCATTCCTTCCCCTCTGATACCCGTACTTTCCTGGACCCCGTCTATATCTGTCGTCCCCCACCTTCGCCACATCGCACACGCTATATATAGAGCCCTTCCGCTCTTTCTCCTCCTCTTTGATCTCTGATGCAATGCTCCACAGACTATGGACTTGTGTGTCAAACTCCGTCAAGGGGTCGAACAGGCTCGTCTTTCCCGAAGGTCGGGGTAGATTGACGACCTGCGTTGACCGCACACGTGGAGCATCTAGGTCGACCTGGATGCAGAGCAGGGTGGGCAGTAGGGCTGTGTTCATTGGTGTTGGTCGGTGATGGCCGCAGGTCCGCCATATGTTGTTGAAGCAGTGGAAGTTGGCTATGCATCTTTTGTGTCATTCGAGTACTGGTTCGGTGTCCTTCCCTCCTCTGCTTCGTTTCCGTTTCCGTCTACGTCTTTGGTTGCGTGAATCCCTCTTTCACCTCTTTCACTCTTGCATTCTTTTGCCTACAAGATGTATGGTGCAGGTGTGTATGAATGGCACTACGCGATTCTTTTCACTCAATGGTTGTGAAAAGTTGCCTGGTTCGCATAAGATAAGTGGCTATTGATGTTTGTTGCGCAGAGTACCCGCTGAGGTCAAGAACATGTACCTCTTTGTTGCTCCAGCTCCATCCAATCAGAAGTGGCATGCCGTGCGGCTCTCCGTGCCTTCACCGCACCAGCTTCATGAATGGCCCCACCATACAGCAACAGCTTCTCTGTCTGTATATTACATACCACACAGTAAAAAGGATAAATACTCAAACCCCATCTCTGTGTTAAGGACATGCAAAGAATATGCACACACGCACACGCACACACACACACACACACACACACACACACACACACACACACACACACACAAGTTGGTGTTAGTAGAGTAGTCTCTTTTCTCAAGTGTATGACTAACTTAGGGTGAGATGGTATGCACGAATACATCGCTAAATGCATCCTGGTCAAAAGTGTCAAGGTTCCAATTTACGGACCGGACAGAACTGACGTCTGTGTTTTGGACTGGGCCAATAAAGACTTCCACTCTCCGCAGTGTGTGCGAGGTGAACTATATTGCTTCCGTAAATCTTATGGTCCGCCAATAAAGACTTCCACTCTCCGCAGTGTGTGCGAGGTGAACTATATTGTTTCCGTAAATCTTATGGTCCGCGTGAAATTTGGATAAGGAAACACTCCTCTTCAGATGTACGCGTGTGTGCAGACGCTGACATGCGTGATCGGCAGCACGAAAGTGTCGACGTCCAGGTGCATTCTGGCAGACGTGGTTGTGAAAGCCACCCTCCAGAAATGCTGTCATGCAGGAACCACCTGTAACCACCAGTACCTTGCCCATACATTGGCCGCGGGCCCCTCACTGCGACTTTCCGAGGGCGGAAACGCGACAAGGACAAAGGCCGTTGATGAAATTTATCAACGGCGGCGGCCCCGCCTTGAAAATTGCACCAATTGACGGGCCGCATCTCTGAAAACTAGCTGGGAAAGGTGCTCGTGGTTTAAAGCCAAGAGAAAAGCTCTCTCAGTGGCCATAGTGTTGTCCTAGGCTATGGGTCCCCATACATCCGTGAAGGGGAAAGGAAATTTTCTTTCTTTGGCCCTGGCTACGGTGCTGACGGAATGTGACACATGGCAAGTGGAGCTTCCAGCGGTACTCTTTTGGTACCTTTTTGGTACCATTTGGGTACCTGTCCGGTACCTTTCTGGTAACTTTTTTGGGTACCTTTTTGGTACTTTTTGGTACCATTTGGGTACCTGTCCGGTACCTTTCTGGTAACTTTTTTGGGTACCTTTTGGGTACCTTTTTGGTACCATTTGGGTACCTGCCCCGTAGCTTCTGGGTAACTTTTGGATACCTTTTTGGTACCTTATCCATAAGCTCTTGGTACCTTCTCGGTAACTTCTTGGGACCTTATTGGTAACATTTTGGTACCTTTTCTGCAACTTTTAGGTGAAGCGGGCCCTTTCTCTGAGTAGTGGAGGAAGTGGGCCCTTTCTCTGAGTAGTGGAGGAAGTGGGCCCTTTCTCTGAGTAGTGGAGGTTAGGATCGTTCACAGGTTGTATGGGGTGGAGCATCTGGCTTTGTACTCTTGTGGTACCTTTTTGGTACCTTTTTGGTACCTTTCCCACTAGGCTACTTGGCTTGCCCGACTGCGCAGCGCCACCAAGTTGCCCGGGGGTCACCTGCACAGGGCACCCGGCTTTTTTTGGGGGAGGGAAGGAAGGTGGGGGGGGCAAGGGTTTTCCTTGTATTGGCAGCTTAGCCTAAATCTGGGCTCGTTTCTCTTTTCCAGTGTTTGCTGGGGGAAAGGGGGGGGGGGAGAAAAGGGGGGGGCGAGCGGTGGGGAAGGAGGGTATAAACTGGGTTTTAAGGGGCTAAAGGCACCTAAAGGGCGGTGCCTTACTCTGATTTTGTTGTTGCTTTTTCCCTATCTTCCATTCTGTGATGAATTCGGATGTCACCCTCAGCCAAAAGTCGTTTGAGTTCCAATTGTACGCAACATTTTTCTTTCCTTGAATTTTTTTACTCTTTTATTTTTTTTGCCAAAAACAAATCAACTCATATTATACCAATTCTGACGCTGGGGCTGCCTGCAACCCTGTGCGCGCAGTTCATGCCCGGCCAGGCACCCCGGCCTCAGCATGTATCCGGGCACAAGTCAGGTGCCCAAGCGCCTAGGGCCAAGTTCCACTAGAGGAGGCTTTGTTCCTGCTGCCGGTACTGTGTGACAGTGTGCTATGCAGCTTGGCAGATGAGTGACAGCAGGAGGAAGAAAAAAGAAAACAAGAGAGAGAAGGATTCAGACTTCAAAAAATATATATAAAAAAAAAAGGGTAATGATGGGACAGACTAAAAACGGGCCAATGACAGTGGCTGGGAACCAGCAGGCTGTTCGGACCTTATAGCTACTGAAGGAAATCACCACAGTGGTACCAGCAGCTATTAAAAATGGGACTCCTGGTCCTCCTCTGTAGCCAATGTGGGTCGGGCTACAGGTACCACTGTGGTAAGCCCTACGATCCCTCTACATCAGTGGTGAGGACCACTCTACACCTGAGAGCAAAGATAGGGCGAAATGTTTGGCCAACGGAAAAAAACGCCTTATGGGTGCCCTTACCTCAGATTCCTTGTGCGAAAAGGCCTGCCTGCCTATGCACCCTACGATCCCTGTACATCAGTGGTGAGAAAAGATGCCACACACAAAAAGGAGGTCCGCCTCCCCAGAACAAAACCTCCTCTAGTGGGACTTGGCCCCTGGACGCCGCAGCCTAGCTTTCCCAGCTATTTTGGTACCTCTTTGGTACCTTTTCGGGACCTTTTCGGTAGGCCCAGGCCCAGGATGAACCCTTGTGTCCTGCCACCGTCATCCAGCGGCTACCGGTAGGTCCCTAGACAGCCCGTTTCCATTTCCGGCCGTCGATCTCCGAAGTCTACCGCCGGAAATTAAAATCGCATCGCAACCCCCCGTGCGAGCGACCTACCGTAGCCCTACCGTAGCCCTACCGTAGGCCCCCCCCGCCCCCCCGGTAATATTTACGCCAACCCCTTTTTCAAGAAATCATATTATACAGCTTTCGGCCCACCCACTCCTTCCACTCCACTGCACTGACTCCAGACGTGGATCGTGGAGTATCGCGTCGCAACGTCGGCAACTCGTTCATTTTCGTCACAAGACACGACCTAAAGGTAAGAATGTACCAAGCATTAAAAAAAAAAAAAAAAAAAAAAAAAA